GGAATTATCCCAAAACAAAACAAAAAAAAGAGAGAAATTGAGCAGGGAAAGGTAAATGTGGAATTTGGACTCAGTCGAAGATTGAAACACCCAAAACAGTGACTTGCTAACAAATAAAGCCTGGGTTTCGAGTTCCATCTTTTTTTTTCCTTTCAGAATAAACACTAATAGCTACTTAATCTGAGTTAAAGAAAATTTGAATAATAGTCAAAAGCCGTCTAAGAGTTTGTTTTTTCAGAAAATTGTATTACCTATAATTGCAGCCAGGACTGGCACTTGGAAAAAGATATTGAGGAACCAATTCCAATGAGCCAAATAAGCGCTTCCTTTAATTTTAATATGTGTTTTTCTAGAACCAACCAGAATCTGCAAATTTTTATTTCTTCCTAATTTTCCTCAATTGGTTTGTAATAAAAATTGTCACGAATAGCCAGTTACCACTTTCTAATAATCATATGACAAATTATTATGATATTTTAAAATTCCAGATAGTGTAATAAATAGGACCAGAAAATTCTGGGAAATCCCATGAGAATAAATTTGAAAACCAGTAGTCACTAATTCTATTTGAACTTTCATGTCTTCTTCGACAAAATGAAACAGTAGCTCACCAAAACTCTTTTCAGACTTCTTTATTACCTCTAAAGAAAAAGAGAACATTCTGGGTGCTTATACCCAGAAACAGACACATGTACAGATGCACTCCCCTGTTTGAGTCGGAGAGTTATGTTCTATTTCCAGAATCAGGAGTATGTGGAAACGTTATTATGTTTGCTGAAAGGGTATGAAAAAAAAAACCTCACTTACGTAGAAGGATGAAGTCGTAATTGGAACTAGGTGCTGCACAAGACAGTATTACCATTCACTGTATTTTTCTCAAGTCATGTAGATTCTACTTTGAGGCAAAAATTGTTGATGTGATTATAGGTATTACTTTAGATTAATTTATTTTCACCATATGAGAAGTTCTTTTCATTTTTTTCTCAGGTCTATCTATTTGACAACTGTTAGCTGTTAAACATTAAAAATACCCAGTTGCCATTTTTATTTTGGACTAGATCCAGATTTTAAAAATCAGGTTTTAGATTAAAAACAAATTGGATATGACCCAATGAACAAACACACAGGTAAAATAAATAATGTCCACAAAACAGTTCTATTATCACGATGCTTATTTCCACACTTAGATGAAAAATGTTGACCTAACACCCCTTCCATTTGTAGTGGTAATGAAGCCAGAGTACCTGGTTGGCTCACTTCTTCCCTGTGCTGACTTCTCATCCCTGAGTTTAGTTCTCTTGTATTTCCTTTAATGATTCGGTACCACCTTTCTTTATGGAGAAGAGGGTTGAGAGAGTGACACTGAGCTGAAAGTGGGTGCCAATGCTGCATAGCTGAAAAGCAGCACCACTGTGGGAAGGGTGCTTTCTTCCCCTTTGAGGGGGGTATTAAAGTGTAGGATCCTGTCTGAAGCTAAAGTGCAAAGCCTAATTTGTTTTCATGATGATTGCTTTTGCTCTACTGAACTTCATAGGCAATTGTCGCGTTGACCATTTTATGGCCATTCACTATTCTAACTAAGAGGCAACTGCCAAAGTATGCAGACATTCAGCAGGTATCTAGGGTGCTTTTAAAAACTAAACATCCTTCTAAGCAATATAGAATAAGGCAGGATGGAAAACATACCGGGTGAGTAGAAAAAGGGTAGGAGATCAAAGAGCCATCTGTGTTTCTCCTCTCTGACATCTTCTGATGCTTATTTATAGTCACCCCACTTTTGCATTCAGTATTTCTAAAGATTGAGTAGAGCCATCTCCCACTTAATTAATCATCAACTTCATCTCACTCCATTCATAAATGGGTCAATAAATGCACCAACCCTTAGTTGTGCTGGATAATCTATAATTTAATCCTGGTGTGGTGGCTCAAACCTGTAATCCCAGCACTTTGGGATGCTGAGATGGGTAGATCACGAGGTCAGGAGTTCGAGATCAGCCTGACCAACATAGTGAAACCCCATCTCTACTAAAAATACAAAAATTAGGTGAGCATGGTGATGTGTGCCTGTAATCCCAGCTAATTTGGAGGCTGAAGTAGGAGAATTGCTTGAACTTGGGAGGCAGAGGTTGCAGTGAGCCGAGACTGTGCCATTGCACTCCACCTTGGGCAACAAAGCGATACTCTGTCTCAAAAAATAAAAAATCTATAATTTAGCACAGAACATAGAAAGTATTCAGTACAAGTTTTTTAGGATACATAAGTGGATGCAAAAATAGTTCATTTCCCTGAAAAGAGTTTTAGTCCCAGAAAGAAATCAATCCTTAATTGAAAATACAAAGAACATTTGATTGTAGTATAACCAATCATTTTATATCAGAATACAATGCTTTATTTCCAAGAAAAATGGTCAGTAATACGCTCTGCATATGTCCCTTTAAAGCTAATGTTTCAGGAAAAATAAAAAGGATTATGTAAGGTTTCAGTTACCACTGAATAGTTTAACACCAGGTACCTGGGTGTTGCAGTCAGAAGTCAAAGGAAAAAGAGGATCTTTAGATGCTCTCTAGAGCCACTTCTGTATCTCAAATCTTCAAAGAAATAAACTTAGTCTATAAATGAAAACAAGTGTTCCAAGAGCCTGGACATGTCACCCAGTGAATCTGGCTGTGTTAAAAATGCTCCCTTTTCTGAGAAAAAAATAAGTGCTGGGTTCTATGACACAGCCAAGAATGGAAAGTTTTTTCTTAGTTTACAGTCTCTTGGGATCACTTATCACTGTAACTCACTCAGAGCCTCCAAAATGCAAAAGATTGATCTCTACAGTACTGGGTATTAAACCAGGCTACAGGCTCACTGTGGCCATCATCACTTATTATAATGCCGTTGATTAGGAGTTAGTAACAAATAATGATGACAACTCAAAATTATTTGCATAAGGAAAATGTAACTAAAAACAAACACACAAAACACTGGCTAGTCAAGGAAAACACCTAACAGACCAATTCTTGAGAAAATCATCTAGTAGATAAGGCTTGCAGGTGTCAGTCTATGGAGAATGAAGAAAATTCCTGTGAGCTTTCCTAAAATGCTCCTTAGGGTATGCTAATATGGAATTATTTTCTTTCACCTATTTCCCTCAGCATATTCTTATTTGGGGGAAAGAAGAACAGCCCCAGTGATTGACCGCTTAGATAAGATAGCTAGTCTCTTGCTTATAGTTGGTTAAAAGGAAGTCATATAGTTGTGTAACCTTTAAACCCTGAAGGAAATGGGTGGTATTTGATGGGATAAAACCCACTGGCTGCCTTATCTTTTAAGGTCTGGATGTCATCTTTTTAATTTCTGCTGCCTGTTTCATTGACTTCCAAGGTCAAAAGAGTGAGATCTATTAGTAAGATGCTTCACATGATCTAAGTTGTTGAGTGGTCTTGGATGTCTCTGACTTGATCTTGGGGCTCTTTAAAACAACATCACTTATTCTGAATAGAGCTTTGATTCTCCAAGTTAACAACAAAAACCAAGAAACAAGTGAAGTATATCAATGAAATGTATTCAAACCAAATGAATACTACAGAGAGACTGTAATTCTTTTTTACTACAGTAATATGGTTTTCTCAACAGGAATTTATTTTGTAGATAATGATCAGTTTGAATATATTAATTTCATAGTTTTAAAATTCATCATCTCTCATTTCTCTCATTCTTAGCAGTGAACATAAATATTTTTTGCACTTTTTTGTTCTAATTGTAATAAAGACACCGTAAATGGAGTGTACTTTGAAACCTAACAAAAATTGTGTTGGTAAACATCATAGATTTCCTCAGCATTATAATCTCTGGAAGTAATTGATCATGCTGTCTTTATCAAAAACACGTAAGATCACATGTGATCACATGACCACATATGACAGCACTGTACCAATCATGGAAAATAACGCTTTTTTCTCTTTTAGAAACTCTTGCTCTAAGAAGTTTGCCATATGAGACACGAGGGATGGATCTTCACTGATTAGTCACAATTAGCAATAGCAAAAAGATTATACGCGATCATACGAGTATAGCGCTTGGTGATATACATATTATTAATATACTTTATATTTGTAGGGGAATTTATTTAGGTAATACAAAGCATTATTTAAATTTATTCTCTCATTCAACCTTCCAAAGACATTCCGTCTTTTACACGTGAACAAACTGAGGCTCAGATAAGTGAAGGGATTTTGCTTATGATGCACGGATGGCAAATGTTAGAGCCAAATGTGGAATTGTTTCGTCCATGTCTCATGTGCAGCAATTGGAGTTTGCAAAATAAATATGACATGATTTCTGCCCAGAGGGAACATGCAGTTTCGTTGGGAAAGTGACTGATGCCATGAAAACAACTTGTATGGTTGGTAAATGAGCACAGTCCTGGGACTAGATAGACTTTGCAACTCACGAAAACCTGTTTCTTTGAGTTGACCAAAGTCGTATGTAAAGTATAAAACAGAAAATCTTTGGACTGATCAGAGATGCTGTATAGACATTTGTTGTCAAAGGATTTAAGACAGTTTGTGATATAAAATGTCTGTTAGTCTAGACCTACCTCTATGCAAATATGTTAACATGCATATAACCATGTTTCTTTAGCAGCTATGCAACACACACTGTAGCTATGAAGAGGGAGCCAGACTATCCTTGAGACATGCATTCAGTTTTGCCTCCTAGGCAGATTTCTGGCAGGACCAGTAAGTGAGGCATGCACAGTACATTGATCGAACATGTTACTGCAAGTGACCAGAGGCTTCGGCCTATGTAAAACCACCAGTCAGTGGTTAATATTCAGCTGAGCTGTAAACTAGAGCACAAAAGCAGGAACAGGATTTGCAATCTGTTAATGTTTTCTTAAAACCTTGTTAAGAAAGTGCTAAGTTCATCATTAATGGAAGCAATATAAATTAAGTGTTATAATTAGCAGTACAATGCTGTACCTTTGTAAAAGTTTACCTTTTATGTCTTTTTGTTTATTAACATAATTTTGTGCTTTGGATAATTATAGCCAAGGGGGAAAAACTGAGAACTGCAAAAGTGCTACTGATTAGTCAAACAGAAATGTAAGTACTCAAAATAAGACATGGAATTAATTAAAATACTATTGGAGTAGTTAAGTTTGTTTGGTGGGAAAGGAGATAGGGACAATTTAAATATAACTCAGTACCTTACTCTTTATGGAGATGATGTACATTTATGCACATTCACAGAATTTGGCACCTAATAGGCATTCAAAAAATGTGTTTCATTTTTACTGTTTATTAAATTTTATATTGACTATCTGATTTCAGCTAATCAAAATTAAAATTGAATCTGTTTGGAACGTTTCTAAATTTTATTACCAGACACCTTAGCATATTTCAAGATTCCTTGTGCTTCTTGCCCATCCTTTAGCTAATCAGCAATTAAACTCCCTAGATTTTACCTCTTTAATAATTAAATACTTTGCCCCCTTTTTCTATGTTTCCACAGCCAGTGCTTTAGTTCACTCCAACATTGTTTCTTCCTTGGATAACTGCTGCAGCCTTCAAAACAGTCTCCCTACCTCTGTCTAGTCTGATTCCCCTTTAGTTCGTATTCCAAATAGAAGTCAGGGACTATTCTTGAACAAATGTATGATCGTGACATTGCCCTTCTTAATCAATTCAGGGAGGTCTTCATAACTTTAGTAACGTTCAGACTCTCCAGTTTAGTACACAGGTCCTTTCAGACCTTACACCCTACCTATTCTCCTTCTCCATTTTATTCCAGTTGTATTAAACTATTTATTATCTCTTAGCTTGAGCCTTTATCCCTCCCTCTGCCTGAAAGACCTTGCCTCTACCTTCACCTCTTCTTCCTCTTGCTAAATTCAATTAATTTCTCAAGGTTCAGTGTAAATTTTGTCTCTGCTAAAACAAACAAACAAACAAACAAACAAAAAACCTTTCTGGATTTCCCCAGGAAGATAGGAGACAATCTTTCTCTGTAATGGTGCATTCCCATTGCATTCTCTGTGTTGGTACATAACAGACATTCAATATTGTATGCATACCCATAGGATGTGAACATATAGGTGTTAAATTTCTTTTAGATAAAATTTTAGCTACTTTAATACAAATAGACATTCTCATATAGTTCAAGACTCCCTGGTAAGGATGGGCCAAGCTGGACATATAGTGTAAGAATTAAACAAAGATACACTGGCTTCTGTAAAAGTAATTTATTGAAGTTTTGATATGACTGTGTTAACTGCTAAAGACTGTGAATAATACTCATTGGCAAAGCAGATTTTAAACCTGATTTATATTGTCTATTTTAGATGCAAAGTACATAAGAAAACCAAGAAAATGCTGTATCTTCTTTTGAAGGTCCCCAAATACATTATTTTCTACTTTAAATTGGTTTCATTGAATGTTCAGTAGCTACATATGCGTATCTACAGAATGTATGTAAATCATAATGGGTAATGATTCAACAAATCCCGTATACCCCTACTCAATGCAACTCAAAGAGTATTACCTTTGAAATTCCATGGGTCTTTCCTTAAGCCCATTCTCTTTCCTCTTCTCAGAGGGATCACTATATTGAATTTTCATCAGGTTCTTATATTTCTTTATAGTTTACCACCTGCTGGTCTTACATGATTTTGCATTTTTTTTGTAGAAGAAATTGTACTATATGTATTTTTTATGTCCAGGTTTTTTTTTTTTTTTTTTTAGTCAGTATAATATTTCTATGATATAACCATGTTGTTTTATTTAGCTGTAATTCACTTCACTCCTGTAGCATATTCTATTATTTGAATATGCCAGAGTTTAAAAAAGAATACATTCTATGGTTGATAGACCCTTTTTTTTTTTCCATTTTTTTTGCTATTATAAATGATGCTTCTGTGAACTTGTCTAGTATATCTCCTGGTATAAAAGTAGATATCTTTATTTTTTATATGTTTGATACAACTTTATAAAAAATAACACCATATTGGGGCAAGCAGTTATTACCCACAATATTATACTTACATGATAATGGTGCACGGTCACACATCACTTGGTTGTTAGAATTTAGTTGATCATTATAAGCTGGAATCGTTTCCACCCATCTCTACCTGCCATAACTGGCACTACACAGATTCCAGAAACCCTTGCGTTTAAAACAATTGCCATGTTTAACCATATATTATAATAACTTATTCTTGTCTCTGTCTCCCAAGGAGACTGGAAGTTTGGGGGTAAGTTCAGTAGCTCTCTTACCTTGACAGGCTTTTTGCTCTAGTGTCTAGCTCACGTGAGATGTTTAGTAATTATGCTTGAGTGAGCAAGTGGTAGGTACTCCATACATATTGGATGATAAAACAAACGGTGTTTATCAAATATCTGTACTACGTTGATCTATGATTTTTTTTACCAAGAGTGTTCTACATATATTTTCTCTCCCACCTGCTCCTTCAAAAGGTGAACCAAAGAAGAGTAAAATCTATAGCCATATATCCACTTTGCTTATAGTATTTGATACAGCACATACTTAGAAACTTTTTCTTGACAGGCAACTTAACAATACAAATGCAATGTGATTGTACTTAATAAAAACTCCAGGGGACTGGAAGTTATACAAATATACTGATATTTAAATATCCTGTGGCCTGCATTATTTTTCCAAACTGAGGTGCTTGTCTTGCTCTGAATGTGGTCATCTCTCCTTATTCATCCCAATCCTTCTTACCACTACCAAGCAAAACTTAACCTGCAATGATATTTCAAACACTTCTTTGAAGCCTCTCGAGTTTTTCTGCATCTTGGCAGGTGAAACAAAGTCCTGAAAACTTCTCATGTTGGATTATGTTGAACAATCTCCAGAATTGTTCAAGTTCACCTCCCATAGCAACACATCTCATTTTGGGTCCTCAGACCATCTGCATCTGAATCATCCATGGTGCCTGTTTAAACCTGACCTACTGAGTCAGCATTGCTGAGGCTCAGATCCAGAAATCTGTGATTTCAGCAATCTCCTCTGGTAATTCCTATGCCTATTAAATCTCAATAACTCACTCTCTTATAGGAGTAATAAATTCAGTGGGTGGGAGAAGCAGTGACATAGGGAAACACATTCTGGTCAAACATGAGACAAGAACACTCTAAAGTGATTTAGAATGCTTTAGAAATATATATTTAACCATAAATTTAAGCCCAAAAACTTGGAACAAATGTGTACTAATCTTTATTAGTGTATTACAGTTTGACAGGTCCATCCCAATCTCTTATTTTCTGTCTCTCTCACTGTGCAATTTTCCAGCTTCGTCATGCTTCCCAGACCTCCACCTGCCCTCTTCCTGGCACCTGATTCCACATTTTCTTTAACAGGGAACAGTGAGGTTACCAGGGACACTCCCTCAGCTTCTTGCCCCTGTCCTGTGATACTTAGTGACACCTCATCCATCCTTCCCCTCCCCGGTTCATCTCAGAAGAAAAACTGCCTCCAACCCCACCTAGGGCCAATCCTCTCCGCTGTGCCCTGTGCTTCACATCTCCTCCGTTTCCCAGGCCAAGCTTCATCAGTTTCTTGTCTCCCTCTCTTTTGGCTGTTCTCTGTGCCATACAGACATCTTCATGACCCTTTCATATTTCCCATCGTAGAAAATGGAGAGAAAAAAACCCTTCATCTGGTCATTGCTCATCTGGTTATCACTCTACATTTTTTTTCTTTTTCTTTTGATTTGAGACAGGGTCTTGTTCTGTCATCCAAACTGGATGACAGTGGAGTGCAGTGGCGTGTTCATGGCTCACTGTAGCCTCAGCCACCTGAGCTCAAGTGATCCTCTTGCCTCAGTCTCCCAAGTAGCAGGGATTACAGGTGCATGACAGCACACCTTGCTAATTTTTTTTTAACTTCTTGTAGAGATGGGGTCTCCCTATGTTGCCCAGGCTAGTCCTGAACTCCTGAGCTCAAACAATCGTCTGGCCTCTGCCTCCCAAAGTGTTACTATTACAGGCATGAGCCATCATGCCCAGCCTGGGCTTACTGGGCCCCCACCTCTCTTCTCATTTCCCCACACTTCTCATCATTATTAACGCAATCCTCATAATGCCATCATCATACCTTTAAAAAACAAAATCTGATTGTGTCATTCCTCAAAAATTTTCAGTGCTTTCATATGCCCCCAGGATAAATACATAACCTCCCTTTCATGAAACACAAAGTCTTTTGTGAGTAGAGTCTTATTTCCTTCCCCAGTTTCTTCTGCCACTTCCTTCTTTTATTTTACACCCCAGATATTCTGCAACATGTCACATCTCCATTTTTCTCAACTTTGCCAACTGCTTGGAACACCATCTCCCCCGCCCTCCACCCTGCTCACACACCCTGTTGCTTTTCTGCTTAGCAGTCTCTCTCATTCTCTGACTCTCAGTCCCATTGTTATCTGTCATTACTCCTTCCCCAATTCTCACAGCAGACTTAGGCTGCTTTGCTCTGTTCCCTGCCCCTGCCCCCTGAGGTTTGCATCTATCTTTGTTAAACCAAAGTTCTTGTTGTATGAAAATAAAAGTGTGGGTTTGCATGTCTATCTTCCCTCAAAACTATAGACTCTTTGAGAATAGGATATTGCTTGGCATGTGATAGTAACTTAAGACATATTTGTTGAATCAATGAATGCATAAATGGGCAAATGAGTTTGATAGATATGACTGTAAAATTATCTTCATAAAATCTGAAAAAAAATTTTAAAACTCTGTAATCTGGAGATCTGTTGAAATGACTAATATTCCATGTAGGTCATGGTGGTAAAGCAGAAATAAAAGGAACATAAAGTACCAAGTATTCAGTCTTGTTTCCCACAGGCACATAAACCAGATGTCCTAATACTTTTTTCCCCCTGCTTTCTGTTTTAAGAAAGAAAGGGACGGGACAACATAACCCACAGGAAATGTTCCATGACATGAAAGAATATCATGAAAGCTGCTATACAGCTGGTGAGATGAATGAAAAATAAACTCAGTGATTTAATATAAACTGTCACTTGCTTCTGCAGAAAAGAAACATTGTGCAGGTGCTTACCAAAAATGGTGCATCGTGGTGAAACCCACATGGGTTCCTGAAAACAGGATCTCGGTCTGGTTAGTCTTTGCTTTCTTGACGCTGCCTAACATGCAGTAGGTGTTTGTTAAACAAAAGAGGAAAGAAGAAATCTGACCAATTTTTTAAGAGGCATTGAACAAGTAATTTGAAGGGTACTGGACATTATCCTAATCTCTCGATTATGGTACTTAAGTCATAGGAATGCTGCTGGAAGTTCTTTCACTGCAAAAATAAGCAGTCAGTAAAAAGGGAAAGGTAACATCTGCAGATGCCATTAAGCATAAAAGGAAAAATGAATCGAAGACAACTGGTCTCCTCTCTGGTTACCGACGGTATTAGAAAATGAGGCTTGTTGTTTGTTTAGAAACAGTATGTTCTTGAATCACGTGCCTGCTGCTTATTCAGTGTTTTGAACCGCAGCTTAAACACTGTAGCTTGAGACAGAGCGGTGGGAGTAATTGAAGCTTTTATCTCCCATGTTCTACCAAGAGTTGTCTGTTTTCAGTTCCTAACTCAGGTGTACTACTTTCTTTTTGCCTAAGTCTTTCCCTTATCCAACTACCTCTCCAGTTCCTCTCGAAGTCTGTTCTTATTCATTTATTTGAAAGATATTCATCGAACACCCACTCTGTGCCAGGCACTGCTCCAGGTGCTGGGGAGACAGCAGGGTTCTCTGCCATCCTTGTTCTCATGGAGGCCGTAGTCTCATCCTGCAAAAGCAATGACAAAAAAGTAACGCATGGAGCGCCAGGTGGGTATAAGAATTATGAGGGGGGCTGAGCTCTTTTGGACGGGTGGTCAGAAAATGCATCTCTGAAGAGGCTGCATTTCCTTTCATTTCAGTCCATTTTTCACTTTTATCCACATGATTGTCACAGAGCCTAACTTACGTGAGTCTGAGGCTGATAGCTGTCGTATTGAGCTTGGTCCTGCTATATTATTTTCTGTTTTTCTTATTGTCCTATAGCTTCTGGGTGTCCTGTACAATTCTATAGGAAAAACAATTCTCTTCCCATGCCTTCACTACTTATTGAAGCTGCAAAAAAATATTAAAGAGCAATAGCCAAGAGTCTGAAGGCCCCAGAGTATACACACAGACACACACAAACAAAACACACACACGCTTTTTTATGCCAGTTAAGTCAATATTATGAATATTAAATATTATGAATATTAAATGAGATAATGCTTTAAAATATTTTGTGCCAGTACCTTATACATAGTAAATACTCAATAAACACTATTACGCTATTATGATTACTTTATTATTATTTCACAGACACTTGTAACGATATTGCTGGATCTTGCATTCTTTGATATGCTCCCATTTAGACATCATATTCTCCAAAGTTTGCTGGGTGCAGAGATATAGTAGGTGCACAGGTCCTAGGGAAGACAGAGTTCCCTCCCTCTTTTGCTTATGAGACAGAGAACACACACCATCTATTCAACTATTGAAAAACACTTCCATTTACAAAGCAACCTAACTAGAAGCACAAATTAATGCATCCAAATGGAAAACCCAACTCTTTAGGGAAGGATGATTAAAATGTCACCGCCTAGATAATTTCACCTTTTAATCATAGTGCTCCTTCTTAGAGAGAAGCATAAAACCCGGGAAGCCCAGCAGGTGAGGGTCCTATTATTTACCACATTGAAAATGGGGAGAGAATCTGTCTGCTAGAGATGGCAGAAGCACTCTGGGAAAATTTTGGTTAATTAAAAGTAATTCCAACCCACTTGCCAGATAATTCTACTTTCTTTTTTGTTTGACTCTTGTAATTTCATTTGGAATGGTTCATTACAGGTGGAAAAAAATAAGGTTAGCCTTTAGGATTCAAATATCTGAACCTCATATGCCAACTATATTTTAGAGTTTTCAACACAGTTATGAGAAACGCTGGTATGGTGAAATCATGAGACAGGATGGCTATATTCAAATAGATTCATTCCAAAAATTCTGCCAATTAATTTCTGAAGCTAGGGGCATGACTTTAATTTGTAATTTAATTTCTTCCCAGTACCTATGTTCCTGGTTATTGTTGCTTTATAACAAATTAACCTAAACCTTAGTGACCTAAAATGCACAAATAGTTTCTTTCTTTTTATTTATTTATTTATTTTTTTGAGACATAGTCTTGCTCTGTTGCCCAGGCTGGAGTGCAATGGCATGACCTCAGCTCACTGCAATGTCTGCCTCCCAGGTTCAAGTTATTCTCC